AGCCCCTAAACACTAAACCCTTAACCCTAAGCCCTTAACCCTCAACCCTAGCCCCACAACCCTTGACCCTATATCCTAAAATCATCATATTGACCCAAACCTGGGGGGGAAGTCGTGGCGCTCGGAACACTTCCGGTGCCGGTCTCGAAGGAGCGGCGCCTGGCACTTCTTCGGGTTTAAGGTCCGTGGTTTTAGTAGGGAATAAGAAGGTGTATATAATCTATATATATATATGGTTTAGGGTTGAGGGTTCAGGGTCTAGGGTTCACGGTTTGGTGTCTAGGGTTTGGAGTTTAGGTGCGTCAGCACGATAAAGCCTGAGGTCCTAAGCGATGTATAGGGTACACAACAGGTATATAAGGACCTCCGGATTCCGGATTAAGGGCCCATACTAGCGGCCCAGGGTCCCAACCTCACACTTCAGGTTGAAGGCTTAGGGCTCTGTATGACCAAGCCTTGGGCCCTAAACCCTAGACCGCGTGGACTTAGGGAGGTCTGGGGAGTCCTTAGTTCTTACAGAAGGCCCCCTGAAAGATTCCTGGATTCTTCTCACTGATTGGGGTTACTGGGTTGCTTGTAAGGAACTTCAAATACAGCTAGAGTTTAGGTTTGAGGATTTGGGGCTTCAGGTTTTGGTTTTAATTTAGGCCTGAGAGTCTAGGGTTTAGAATTTGGGGTGCGGGGTGGGTTGCTGCTTGGCAACTTCAACTAAGTTACACTAATGGAGAATCAAATGGAAAAGAAAATTGAAAATCATATGGAAACAGTGGTAAAATGTAGTTATGCAGGAAGTTCGGGAAGTTTAAATACGTAACCAATAAAACATCAAACCTTGTTGTTTAGTGTAGATCCATATTCTGGAAGCCTGATCTAAATTCTCTAACAGCAACCCAGAATAGGGTCTGGGGTGTAGCGTTTTATTGGGATTACATACGAGCATATGTAGGGGATGATGCATAGGGGCAGCAAATAGGCGTGTAAGAGCTTAGGGTTAAGGATTTAAGGGTGGAGGGCCCGTGGTTTAGGATGTCAGGGCTAAGGATACAGGGTCTCGGGTTTAGAGGGCTGTGAACACTACCAGGCACGGTAGGGATACTGGGCGACTATAACAGGAGCGCAATAGTCCGCCTTCACTCCAATTTCTCTCTTGCCTTGCTGGTGATGCTGTCATGATGAGAACTACAAGTGCCATGCTGCCATGGTTGATACTACTATATGCTACTGCTTACCGCTGCCGCTGTCATCAGCACCAGCACCATCACCACAGCATTGTTCCTGCAACAAGCTAGTAGGCTGCTACCTGCTATGACGGCCAATACTAGCAGGATGACTGAGCAATGCGATGGATGTTGCCCTCACTATACTATGCCCCCGCAGGCTGTACAATACCAATGGTATTCAACTGGCTAGCTTCAAGTAGGGTATGGAGGACTGGGGCCTAAAGGTAGCCCGTATAGAATCCGGAACACTGTAATCGTTTCCATCGTCTTTTCTAGTCTTTCATTCCTAACTATCCCTAAACCCTCAGCGCTAAACCCTTAACCCTAGACCCTAAACCCTGAACCCTTAGCCCTAAACCCCAAAACCCCAAAACCTAAGCCTTGGACCCTAAACCCGAATAGAACCTATGCATCCCATAAACCCGAATGTCTATTTCAAGGTCATTGGCTCTGCCCTGGAATTTTCACTCCTTACCCTTCTGTCCCACAAACATTCAGCAAGTTTAGGGTTTAGGGCTTCTGGTCTAGGGGTTTAGGGTTTTTTGGTTTAGGGTTTAGGGGTTTAGGGTTCTGGGTTTAAGGTTTAGGGCTTAGGGGTTTAGGGTTTAGGGTTTAGGGCCCCAGGCGGAACTTGTACCAGATAACTCCAACTTCCACTTCATGTCCCTTGTCTTTCTCATGTACTTTTTCAACCCTAAACTCTAATCCCTACTCTCTAAACCCCAGGCCCTACATCCTAAACCCTAAACCTGAATGCAAGGACCACTGCAAGATGGCAATCCTTACTGTATCTGCTTGCGGAGTTGTCGAAAACATGCTCCGGTTTGCGCACCCTCACCCTGACATTAGGAGCTGTAGTATACTAGGGACCCAAAAAAAGACAATACTGTTGATACCATATATATATATCGGAACAGCCCTCAACCTTTGACCCTAAACACTTAATCCTAAACCCCAAACCCTAAACCCCAAGAACAAACTCCTACCTGGAAAACAAGCACAACAGTAATCAGCAGGGCGGTCCGTAGCCCAACTCTCCCGCTGTCAACGGCATCGTACCCTGATTTGAGCGTAGGGTTTAGCATTTAGGGTTTAGGGATAGCAAGAATAAAGACAGCATTTAGGACTAAGGAACGGGAGCCGCAGGAGTGGGAAAGTGATGGCAGTCCGCAGGAGCTACAGTGAATATTTCCCGTACAATCTATGGACAGGTGTTCCTCCTAGGAAATACATTACGGACTTACTAACCTACAAACGGGACTCCTATGTCCACCCCTGAATGTTTACTTGGTAAGCTTAAAACTGACAGTAGCTCTAATCTCCCTAACCTTAGACCCTGAAGCCCAATCCCTGTACTCCCTTATGTCCAGGTCCATAGGGAGGCAGCGACCCACAAAAGTACGGGCCAAAACAATTAGGGGGTATATAGGGGCTAGCGATAGATGAGGAGTTTTAAAGGGTTTGGGGATAAATCAATGGTTATACAGGGTTCCAGGACAAATTGGGGTCATATATTAAGTTTAGGTATCAATTTGGGGCTTTATAAGGGTTAGGGACAAGACCCGAATAATGGAAAATCAGATGTAAGAGGGCATGGGAAATGAAATAGGGGCTTCCAGGAAGCGCAGTGTAGGGGCCAGAACACTTACCAATGGGCTTAGGGTTTAGGGTTTAAGGTATCTGAGGTACCCTATACTCTGATGATACAGAGAATTTAGGACCATAGTATTGGTACTCAATTATTAAGGTCCCTATAATACTCCAAGCCAGTTAAGTCATGATCTACTGTAGTTGTCCCCAACTCACACAGCAGGGACGAAAACAGAGGCAAACCACAGCTTAATCAGATGCCAAGACGTCACACCGGCTTGAGAAATTTGACGTTGGAGAGCTGGGGAGATCGGAAACTGATCTGCGGACATTCCCTCCAGGTAGCAAGCAACCTAAACCAAACCCGAAATCCCAAACCCTACACCCCAAATCCGAAGTCCCAAACTCTAAACCCTGAATCCCAGACCCTAAACCCAAAACCCCTCGTCCCTCCCTAGGATCAAGTCTTGTGTTCCTAGGTCTGTGGCTTGGAGTCTGGGAAGGTTTGGGATGAGGGCCCTAAATTTGGGGCTTAGGGGGTCAGGGGTCTAGGGGTTTTGGGATTTAGGGTTTAAGGTTTGGGGGTTAGGGGTTAAGGGGTTTAAGGGTTTAGGGGTGAAGGGGTTTAAGGATTTAGGGCTTTGGATTTAGAGTCTTTTTTTTGCGTTTTTAAGGTCTAGGGTTTAGGGATTTAGGGTTTAGGGTTTAGTGAATATCCTACATGGTGCAGCGGGGAACCGCTTGGGCCACGGCTACAAAACAATTGACAAGCCTGATGGCCAAACCCGGAGCTGTTGAACTTCCAGACTGAAATTCCTTCATGCCAAAACCTATAGACCCCAAATCCTAAACCCCAAAAGGCACCAAAAACACACAAAAAAAAAGGCCCTGCAAGCTCTAAACTCTACACACCTCCTCACCCCTTGGTGGCGCACGCGGAAGTAGTCATCGCTCATGAGGGCTTTCAGTTCGCCCAGTTCGGCTTCCTTGTGCTGGTCATCCTGGGACTGTCTCAGCTTCATTCAAGAAATCATATCACGGTTTATACGGTTTAGGGTTTATACGGCTTAGGGTTTAGGGTTTAGGGTTTATACTGCTATGTGGGGATCATATAATAGTAATAATGGAAATAAAGACTACCATTTAGGGCTTAGGGTTTAGGGTTCAGGTTCAACGGTGGCGAATCAAATGGAAAAGAAAATGGAAAATCAAATGGAAGTTGGGCTTATGTATGGGTTTATGATTTCGGTTTGGGGTTTAAGGCTTGTGTTTGCGGGCTTGTGGGCGGGCTAAAGTGTAGGGCTTAAGGTTGAGGGCTTGGAGCTCTAGGTTTAGGATTTAGAGCTGCAAGCTTTGGTTTCAAGGCTGGGCCCTAAACCCTAAACCCTAAACCCTAAATGGGATTCAAGTCTAAGGTTGGTTACTGGATCCCTGAAAGCATCCAAGCCGAGAGGCGCCGAGGTGTTTTCCCAAAAAACTTTGGGAGCTCCCTAAACCCTGAACACGAAGCTGGGCTCAGGGACCTACCAGCGGTCAGTGGTCGCAGCTAACTCCTGAGGGTCGTAGTGCCATGTGGGATCCAACCGCGGTTTCGGACGTAATCCAGGGTCGGCTCTTGGATTGCGTATGCGAGGTGATAGGGACGCTGGAAGGTGAATCGTTCTTTCGCTGTTCCTGGCATGAGGAGAAGTTTACCATCCTGGGCTGGTCTTGGGGCTCACGTGGTAGATTCACAGTTTATGGCATTCGGAGGACTCTGGATAAGAGTGGCTTTCCATGCTTCAAAGTGGAGCAAGACACTTGTGTGCGTGCACATGTCCAGCCTGTTTCCATCAGCTTCAGTAGCCTTATAGAGGTGTGTTCAGGGATTGGGGGTTTTTCTCTGGGCGCACAAGCGGCACGCGCTTGTAAAACAATTGCCTTTGTCGACAAGAGTGAGTTGGCATGTGCCACAGTCCGAGCAAACAGTGGCCAGGCAGTGAGGGCTGACATTCAAAGCCCAGCAGCACGCAAGCAAATTCACCTCTTGAGTCCCAAGCATCCCGTGTTGCTTGGGGCCGGATTCCCGTGCCAACCCTATTCAAGACAGGGTTCAGGTTTGGCCTTGGCAGATTCCAGGTCCGGGGTCCTAGGCAGTGTTCTTGCCCTCGCGTGGCACATGCAACGGAGGTCCAGGACTGTCAGGAAGTCATGGCTGCCATTCGCACCTTCGCAGGCAAAATGGGCCTTGTCTTTCATGAAGTCACATTGGAACTTGCTGACCAGTGGGCGAGTCATAGGAAACGTTGGTGGGCAGTCTTACTTCCTGAAGCAGCAGAGAGCTTTGAACTGAAGGGCTGGGAACAAGCAAGCTGGGGCAGGACTGTAAGGGAGATTGTCCCGGAGTGGCCTATCTGGTCTGTGGAAGACGAGAGCAATCTCAAATGGACCGTGCAGGAGGCAGCCAAATTCGGAGACCCGCGCTATGGCAAGGACCCCAGATTCTTGGACCTTCGGCGTCCCGCTCCAACAGCCCTGCACTCGTATGGGTCACCGTTGGATCCCTGCCCTTGCGGTTGTAGGCAGGCAGGCCTGCATGAGACCAGGTTGCTTCAGAAGGGCTTAAGGGGGTTTGCAGTGTACTCGGCCCGGGGTCTAGGCAAGAGACACATTCACCCCCAGGAGTTAGGTTTGCTTAACGGGGTGCCCCCATCCTTCTTGCATCCTGGCACACCGCGTTCCGCGCTTTGCATGATTGGACAAATTGCATCGCCATTGCAATCCTTATGGATTTTCGCTCAGGTTTCAAAGTGGAGGGCGCTCAACTTTCATGCAGAAGTGTTGCCACCAATTGAACAGGCCCTGGAAACGTTCAAGAGATGCATCCTGGAGCAGCGGGATGACAAGTGGGTACTGCCCTCCATGCGGCAGCGCAGGCAGGTGCAGTTCAAGGTTCAAGGCGAATTCCTGAGAAGGGAAGTTCAGCAGCCATTGCAGGCGGGAGACCTTCTTGCAGAGGAGGCTCGGAAAAGACAGGTCAGCTCAGCTGGAGCAGTCCTTCTGGATGGCAGGCAAGTGGCAGCGGAAGCTCTTATCCCCACAAGACTGGGGGTGCATTGAGGTCCAGTTGGGACAAGCCTCGCATAGGGGGCAGTCATGCTGCAAGGCCACCGGCAACCACAACGACACAGGTCAGTTGGCCATCAAGGTCCCAGGCACAGGAGCCCGAGGAAGGTCAGGCGCCACTGCAGGCACACGCATCTGGCGTTGGCAGTGTACAGGTTCAGGTGCCCAGGTTGTCTGCTGATCAGGCCGGGGAAGTGCAAGCAAGTGCCTTGAACCACACGGAGCCAAGGCTGAGTGCTCCGAGGCTTGACGCAGGTCAGGTGCCAACACGTGTTGATGCAGTGGAAGCAAATCAGGCGCAGGTTAAGGCACCCAGGCTCCAGCCAAGTCAGGGTCAGACTTTGCAGACGCAGCATCAGGATCCAGCTGAAGTTAGCACACAGGCAGGTCAGGCGCATGATCAGGTGCCTTTGTCTTTTGTTGCCCAACCTGCATGTCAGCTACAATTGCCGGGCATCACTGTCAATCAGGTCCAGGTACAGGCGCCCAGGTTGCCAGCAGGTCAGGCGCAGAGCTTTGTCGCAGTCGATGTGCCGACCAATCAGGTTCTGCAGGCGCCAGCCGCGATCCATGCGCAAGTGCTTTCAAGGTCCCAGGCTGGTCAGGATTCCACTCAGGCAACTCCATTGCAAGTGGGCAGCTCTCCTACAACGCCACAGAGCCAGATAAGGCTGCAGCCCGAGATTAATCTCGCTGGTGAGAGTTCTGCCACAACACTCTTTCAAGTCGGGATACTGATTGGGAACGATACGATTCGGGTGGGTGGGAGTCTCCGCAGGCATGTCTGCAGGTGAACTTGTCAAGAGGCTAGGTCTCGGAAGCGAAGTGCGCCATCTTGTGTCACAACAGAAGGTCTCATTCGGGAACAGCCTAGTTCGAGGGGATGTGTTGGATGCAAGGGCCAAGCATTCTTTCACGCCAGATGGGGTCTCCATAGGGGACACAGCAGTTTTTGGGGCGGCGCAGAAGCTTGTTTCAGGTGCACCGCCAGGATGGGTCACATTGTCGCCAGGCGCCATCTCAGGGCTTCTGTGTGTGGCCGATCAGGCTCAGGGCCAGGTAAGGCCAGGCAGTGTGATCCCGGTCGTTTGTGGCGGTCTTCGAACACCAGAGTCACTGGGCCTGTCTGTGTCTGACCAGTGACAGGGATGACACGGTTGAAGGCATATATCTGGATGGCCTCAATTTCGAATTGCAGCAACAAGCCAGCAAGATCGCGAGCATCATTTGCGATCATTGGGGAAAGAAGCTCAAGCATGTCTCAGCGAGGCGATGGTTCACACAGGAGACGGGCATTGGCTGTGGCACGGTGGCTGTAGCCCACGCCGCCCTTGTTGTTGGAGGCCAGCAGGTTACGACCCTCCAAGCACTGCGCAAGCTGCAAGCACATTTGTCGTCAGAAGCACCTCCAGCATGCCTGCATGTAGGCCGGGGTAATCTGACAGAAGAGGAGACAAAGCGGCTTCAGGAGTTGTTGGTTGAAAAGGGTGTCCCTCAGCCCAAAACCGCTGAAAGGTTGCAAGCTCTGGCTCAGAAGGTCGGGGCAACAGCAGTTGCGCAGGTCTTGCAAACGCCGAATCCGTGGCGCCAGCTGAAGGCACTTGCATCCAGGCCAGGTCAGGTCTTCCGGCTGGTTTTGCCAGAAGAACTGGAGCACAAGATTCGTGAGAAGGCAAGTAGCTCTTTCGGGGCGGTAGTTCCGGAGGGAGGCCGCAAGAAACGTAGACAGGCCTTGATCGGCAAAGCCACTCCGGCCTTGTCGGTTGATCCCGAGTTGCTGGGAATTGCAGAAGGCTCATTTGTGGCTGCAGATGGCCAAACGATGCATCAGATTAAGTTCAGTGAAGTGGCCACGGAGGCCCATGGCCTGGCATTCTGCACTGCGGCACAAGCTGCGCCGTTCCTTCAGGGGGAGTCTTTGAGCACGGATCCTCTGTGCTCAGTCACAACAGCCTCTCTCCCGTCAGACATCAAGGCACGGAGGCCACACAAGGTTGTCAGGTTTCCCGCTATGTTTCAGCCCACGGATGAGCCGATGTTGTTGACAGGGAGCCTGGTTAATCTAGGAGACACGCAAGTGGAACTAGCCCAAGGTTCAATTGCCGAGCCCTCTAGCATTGCCACAGGGATGTGCAAAATTTCAGTGTTCAGGGATGAGTTGCAGATCCCATGGGCCAAGTTTTGCGAGGGGCCGGTCCGCTGGTTGATGCAGACAGTGCCTGCACTCAAGGTGTGTCCGGGGGTGGATTGTGGAATTGACTGCGCTTTCTTCCATCCTGCAGTGGACGAACACATTGACCAAATGGTTTTGGATTTGTGGGCACGCCAATTCCAAACCCTTGCAGGCAAGAAGGTGGCAGACAAGGCTGCCGAGGTGTTTTCTGTACTCATTCGAGTCCCGCAATCAGCAGTGGATCAGCTCCAGATGATCCAGGTCCCCTCTGTATATGTGGAGCCACGCGCAGACGCGGGTGTCGGCACTCATGATGATTACAGAGCCATTGGCTGACGAATGCCAGCAAGGAGACAGCCCAGCACTTGGTTCGTACTTGTGCAAAAGCCTTGGCTGTCATCAGGTTAGGTGCCAAATTCGGAGTCCGCATTAGGGAAGATGAGGAGGCGGTCTTCAAACAAGCCAAGCCGGGAGTTCCCTTTGTCAAAGCGAAGGTGGCCATGAAATTTAAGCTCCATCCATTACCACACGGAACGCAGCGCTCAGACATCATCAGCCTGCTTCGGGGATGCACGCCCATTGCAGCCAGGGCGTGGCGACGGTGTTGGTGCCACTTGGCTAATAGGGGCTGAGACCAATCCGCCAATGCAAGCATTGTCAACAGGCCATAGCAACAAGGATTGGTGGAGGTGAGAACCGGACAAATAGTGAAGCTCCAGTTTACGCATCGCAGCGTACCAAGCAGGTGCTGCAGCAAGCATGTCAGGCAGCGGATCATGAAGAAGACCCCTGGGATAAAAAGCCGGATCCGTGGGCGCTTTACAAGGCAGCCAGTCACAGCAGTGCAACCCCAAAGCAATCACAAGGCCAGTTACGCATTCAGGCACTTGAGACCTCGCTCAAGCAAAGTGCTCAGGAAGCAGCCCAGCAACATGTGGAGTCTGCCCTGCAAGATCAAAATGCCAGAACCGACCAGCAGGTCGAGACTAGGTTTCAGAGGCTTGAAGCCAGCCTTCAAGAGGTGGTGGAGCAAAATGGCAGGTTTGCGCATTGGGTGGATTCGGTTAATGGGCAAATTGCACACACCGCAGCGGAGGTAAAGGAGGTTCAGGTTGCCGTCTCGCATAACGAAATTGCCTTGCAAAACATAGGCCAGCAAGCACAGGCTCAAGCAGAATCGACTCGCACAACCATTCAAGCCTCAGTGCAGCAGTCATTCCAGGCGATGCAGGCAGGTTTTGCCCAGCAAATGCAGACGCAGTTCCAAAGTCAAATGGAACAGTTCCAATCCTTGCTTTCCAAGAGGAAATTGTCGGAATGACTACGGCGCGTGGGGTGCCACGGGAGGTCACGTGGCACGCCCTGTTCAGCGCAAAGGCCTAGAAGCATAGGAGTCAAGCTCCTTGTACTGCTCTGTTCGCTTGTGGGACATGGGGTCGCATAGCAATAAGTTCTGTCAGCACTGACTGGGGAGGTCAGGAAGCACAGCGGGCGGGGGAGGCGGCCAACCCAGGTCCAAGTCAGGATGGTTGCCTCACTATTGGGACCACAAATCCAACAGGGATGCGTGGAAAAGAAGGTATCTTTGCTGAATTCGGCGAGGGCATCTTTTGCGCAGCAGAAACGCAGCTTTCGCAGGTCACAATGCCAACAACGGCTCGAACTCTCAAGCACTTGACTAGACAGCAAGGGCGGAATCTCAGGGTGATCCATGGAGCTCCGGCGCCCATCAGAGTCAATTCCTCTTGGGCGGGGGCTTGGAGTGGAGTTACGCGCATGGCGGATTATCCTACGCGCAAGTTGAATCTGCCCTGGGATGAGGGACTCCGGGCTTCGGGCCGAGTGTTGCCGGTCTTTCATCAGGTGGGCGAGTTGCCAATCACAGGTGCTGTGATCTATGGATATCCATCCAGCCAAACGCATCCATATGCTCGCCAGGCCACCAACGACTTGCTCACGGGCATCACTCGCGACATAGTCATTGGCAGAACAGGTCCAAGATATGTGGCAGGTGACTTCAATCATTGCCCAGACCAACTGGAGGAAGTCCAGCTTTGGCAAGCGCATGGATGGGTTGAGATCCAATCATGGGCCAAGGTTTTGTGGCAATGGGAACCCCAGCCTACATGTAAGGGTGCAACGCAAAGGGACCTTTTATGGGTCTCCCCGGAACTAGCAGAGTTGTGCGATTCGCAGATCACGCCATGCTTCTGGCTAAGTTCAGAGTCCCAGATTGCAGGCCACTGAGGCGGGTATGGGCCATGCCAGCCAGTCTGCCTTGGGGTCAAATTCGCGTGAAAGAGTGGCAGCAGCGTGAATATCCTCCGGTGGATCCCTCTCTGTTGGCCAGTGACTGGTACCGCTCATTTGCGGTAGCATTTGAAAGCAGTCTTGAAGAGTTCGCCAAAGAGCTCCCGGGTTCACATGTTCCCAAGTCTTGCCGAGGTCGTGCCAGAAATGTTGAGCCAAGGCTGCAGAGAGTGGCGGCGCCATTGGCCAAACCCAGCAGACAAGGTGAGGTCAGTTTGAATTGCGACCTGGTCGGCAAGGAAGTCCTACAATGGTACAAGCAGTTGAGAAGACTTCAGAGCATGACCCAAGCTCTTAAAGCAGACAAGCAAGATGTGAATGCTCAAGTCTACCGGGCTGAGCTTTGGCACTGCATCCGCACCTGCAGGGCCTTCAGGGGCGGCTTTTCACGTTGGTGGGCAGATCGCAGTATTCAGCTGCAGGGAAGTCCGGTGGAATTTCCCTTGGTGGTGCCCAGTTTGGAGGGGCGCAGACGGATTCAGGAGGATTTTCAGGTCAATTTTAGGGCATTTGAGGCATGGCATGGCAGGTCTAGAGCCAGAGTCCTCGAGGCCAAGTATCAAGGTGGCAAGGAGCAGTTGTTCAAGGAGCTTCGCAAGAGGCCATCGGAAGCGGTTGATACTCTGCAGTTCCAACACACATACACGATACTTGCAGCCGACTCTGAAAGCCAACAAGTGCATCTTGAATCAACCATTGATTCAAGAGGCTTCAATTCGTGGACACTGGATGGCGAGCCATGCCAGGTTGATACCATTGATGGGCAGATGTGTTCAATTCGTGGGGCAAGTAAGCCAATGGAAGGCCAAGAGCTGCTGCAACAGCAGATTATCACGGAGGTCTCTGACATCCATCACGAATTCGCCCAGCACTGGGCGGCCAGGTGGCAAGAACATGCAAAAGTTGATGTTCAGTGTTGGAGGAGAGCGATGGACTTCTGCGCAGCTTTCCTGCCAGCATGCATTTTCGAGCTTCCACCACTGGATGTGGATAGCTGGTGTCACGCGCTCAAGCGTTACAAGCCATACGCTGCAAGGGGTGTCGACGGCTTTGCTAAGCAAGACCTGGAGCGCATGACACGTTCTCAGGCGACGGACCTGGTGGCATTCCTTACAAGGATAGAAGCAGGAGAAACGCAATGGCCGGCACAAATGCTGATTGGGCTGATAATGAATCTCGACAAAGAGAACCAGAAACAAGGTGTCGCAGCTTTCAGGCCCATATGCATACTCAGCATTGTGTTTCGCACTTGGTCCAGCATTAGAACAAGGCAAATGTTGCTGCAGTTCTCCAGGGCGTTAGATCAGGGACTTTATGGGTACCTGCCGCAACGGGAAGCTAAAGAAATCTGGCTCACAACCCAGATTGCCATCGAGCTGGCATGCCTTGAAGGGGTTGATCAACTGGGTTTAAGCACGGATCTTGTGGCAGCTTTCAATGCACTGCCGCGAGGTCCGGTGTTTGCGGCCGCCAAGAGGTTGGGGGTGCCTAACTTCCTAATCAGGTGCTGGAGCCAATTCACGGCGGGCCTCAAAAGAGCCTTTGTGGTAAGAGGTGAGGTGGGGGAGCTCCTATCTTCGAGCACGGATTTTCCGGAAGGAGACCCAATGTCAACTCTAGCAATGACCATTGTGGATTGGGCGTGGCATGTGTACATGCGGCAGTTCGCGCCCAACACCATACCCTTGTCACTCGTGGACAATTTGTCCTGCCTGGCCACCAGGGCTGCTGACATAGCACAAGCCTTCACTTGCATTCAGCGCTTTGCAGAGGCTTGGGGGTTGGAGGTAGACCATGATAAAACCTTCGCGTGGGGCCGCACCACAAGTTCAAGACAAACTCTTAAAACCCTGCAGTTTCAGGTTGTGGGTCATGCCAAAGATTTGGGAGGTCTCATGACTTATGGCAAGCGCCCCAGGTTTGCAAATCAGGACCAGCTCCTAGCCTCGCTTGACGCGTTCTGGCAAGGCCTGAAGAAATCTCGTGCGCCTATGGCACAAAAATTTGAGGTCCTGCCTATCAAAGCATGGGCAAAAGTCCTTCATGGCAGCTCAGGATGCATGCTCTCAGAGTCAAAGCTGTCAAGTCTGCGAGCGCAAGCGGTCAATGCGCTGGACCTTCATGGGGCGGGTTCCAGCTCGGCATTGCGATTGGTGCTTGCACCAGACATGACCTGCGACCCGGGCTTTTATCAGTTCTGACATCTGATTGCGGATCTCAGGAGAATAGGCCTGAAGCAGCCCGAACTGCCAGAGTGCTGGGCTAGATTTTCGTCTCTCTTCCAAGGTCAGTCGCTGCCGGGACCCTTCAGCACACTCCTTCAGCTCTGCACGCGCACAGGAGGGTCAGTCAACCCCCCTTTCCTGCAGACCACTCAGGGGCTCCGTTTGGATTTGTTCAGGGCCCCCAAAAGGTTTTTGAGGAAGCTGATGGAACAGGAATGGGCAAACATGGTGGCACGCCAGCACACTCACAGGAAGACAATGACGGAGTTGAGTTCGCTTGATCTGTCGCTGGCGCATCTCGATGAAAGCAAGCTTTGTCCTGTTGAAAAGGCCAGGGTCAGTGCTTTGCAGTCAGGTTGTTACATTGTGGATGCTCAGCATTGCAAGTACGACATGACCAAGACAGGCCAAGGCAGACATTGTGACGTTCCGGAGACAGTGACTCATAAAGTCAAAGACTGTCCCAAGTTTCGGCAATGCAGATGTGGCAGTGAGAAAACCCTGGATGAATGGTCGGATCTGCCTCAGTCGTTGCCCCACCATCTGCTCGTTCCTCAGAACCCATGGATATCGGAGCTACTGCAGGAGCTTGAGGACATCCCCAAGTGTGTGCCGGAGGTCATTGTTGATGGTGGTTTCGCGGAATGGCATGACATCTTCACGGATGGAACCAGGCTCTTCAAAGGCGCCTTGTCATTGGCGGCCTGGGCCGTGGTTAACGCAACTGTAGGTCAGGTTCTTGAAGCAAGTCCACTGGCTGGGGGGTACCAGACGGTGCCCAGGGCAGAACTGGAGGCAGCG